GGGGGACAGGAATTAAGAGGGGAACCCCAAAGCTCCCTGCTGGGTTATCACCCCAGAGCCAATGTCCCTATGGAAGGGAAGATGCGCCTTTTGTCTACACTACCACTGCTGGCCAGTAAACTACCAGATAACCAGGTACTCCAGGTAGTCATGGAGGACCAGGACTCCCTGCTATGGCCCTACCCTTACTTTCCCCAGCAACTGTGCGCCCTTCCCCCACTCACTGCTACAACAGTTTCCAGCTTTCACCTCTTCTCAGCCTTGGTTTCCCCATCTGTAAGATGAGAGGATTGGACTAGACTGAGTCCAACTAGATCCATAGGCCAAGGACCATGACCGTCCTGTCATCATGTCTCCAACACCTAAAACAGAGCATAGGCTGGTTAACATCTCAGTGAATGAGTGAACAGAGAAGGCTTGAATTTTATGCTAAAGCCAATCTCATAAACACCACCAGGGATATAGGTGTACTTTCACAAAGCCAGGTTTATTGACGACATAGTAAGCACACAGAGAAACCATGGGTGTCTCAATAGATAAAGGAAGAAATAGGGGTATAATAACATTTGGGGGAAGAGTGGAACTTAGGTGAAACTGAAGTGAATCGGTGTTGATAGGCTCTGAGCAAACCTGGCTATATGCAATGGGCTTAATATCAGGCTTGGGCTGAGAAGTGAACTCAACAGTCCTGTCTCCTTGGAGGCCACAAATTTAAGATATAGTCCAAAAAATCATTATCTGAAGCTCTGCACCTGGGTTGATACTCCAAACTGTTTCTTTGTGTCAAATCTGGCTCTGACCCACTAGACAAGAGGGGAATGTTCCATTGCACTGACACAGTTTCAAACAGCAGGTCCTCCAAGCAATATAATGAGTTATAAGAAATACATATTTCCCCAGTATCTATGGTCTTCATCCACAGTTCCTGAAAACATGGCAGAGCCTTAAAGGTGAATGGAGTGTCTTGTCATGTTAATGAGAGACTTTTGGACCCCACCCAAGCCCTGGGGGTGAAGGTTGAATCAGCCAATGGGCAATGATTTAGTCAGTCATAACTCTGCAATAAATCCCTCACAAAAGCCCCTGAGAAAAGTGTATGTCCTTTGGTTCCTGCTTCTCTTTCAAAGAGACCTCCTGTGCTTGGGGAACCAGGACGTGTGCATATGCTCCCAAGCCAGGCCTCAAGCTCCTCAAGGATAGAAGCTTCTTTATTTGAGACTTTGCTCTGTGTATCACTTCATCTGCCTGTTAACTTGTATCTTTTATGGTATCCTTTACTGAACTGGTAAATGTTAGTGTTTTCCTGAGTTCTATGAGCTGCTCTAGCAAATTAATGGAAACCTAAGGCAGGGAGGTTGTTGGAACCTCCTATCTGTAGATATTTGCTCAGAAACACAGGTAACTGCCTGGGGCTTGTGACCAGAGTCTGGAGTTGGGGGTGGCGGGGCGGGGGACAGTCTTCCAGGACGGAGCCCTTAACGGGAATCTAGTACTGTCTCTAGGCAGACAGTGTCAGAATTGAGTTCTTGGACACCCTGCTGGTGTTCCAGAACTGCTTGGTGTTGTGTATGGGAAGACCCCCCAACTCCCCCTCCCCTCCTCACACACGCACACATACACACAAACACCTGCACACACACACACATTGGAACTGGTCCAGGAACCCGAAAGGAGTTATACTATTACTGCTATGTAACATTATTACTGCTGTGTGTACTATTGTATTTAGAAAGAAGAACATACATTCAGCATTGTCTTTGATGTTTATTGACAAAAAAGAAAAGGTTTGACAGATTCATATTTGACAGGAATCCCTTGATGTATTGAACATCTGGATGTGAAAGCCCCCTAGATCCTCCAGTCTTCCCATCCTAATAGTACCCCACCATCCTGGGGCCCACATCTCTCTGGGCTTCCATTAGAACACTGAGTCAAGCCTCTATCCCTCTATCCTTGGATGTACCTGTCATCGTCCCAGCCAGACTACAGGTTATTTTACTCTGCCCATGCCTGGCAGAGAATACCAGTAGTTGCTCAGTCCACATCCATTGAATCTGTTGATAGTTTTTCTAAATACAAAGAAAAAGAAATGGAAGAAGGCAAAGCAAAACAACAGCAGCAGTTGTGTAAAAGAGGTGGGACTGTGGAAGACTTTTAAAAATCTTTCCCAAAGTGGAAGCTTCTAAAATGTAGCCAGTATTAATGTTCTGAAAAAATGGAAAAGAGAATGGAATTGTTGACTCTTTTAAGATAAAAAAAAAAGAATTGACACATTAATGATTTTTAAGTGAGAACTACATTATTGACATTGTGTTGTTAAAAAGAAGGCATTGCAACACTGATTCCTTTATAATTTTTTAAAGGAATTGAAATATGACATTTGTGTTTTTTCAGAAAGATTCTCTTCATGACTTAGAAAATAAAAACAAAAAAATGTTGGTATTGACAGTCTAAACATTGCTGAAAAACTTAAGTTATTGAATGTTGGTTTTAAAGAATTTGAGTTGTTGAGACTTGGAGATTAAAAAAAAGAAAACTGAGTTATTGATTAAAATGTTAGCACTTTAGGCAAGATTTCCTAACTCTCTGTTGCCCATGAGTGGGAAGGGTATCATACCAGTTCTCAGGATCCCTCTGAGCCTGGGTAGAGGGCCCCTGAGGACACATGGCCCAACCACAGGGTGGAATTTTACAGGTCCGACTGCCCTTTACCTTAAAAGTATTTTGGAAAATTGTTCGAGGCCCCTTTCCTAACCCATTGGGAAGAAGTAGATACTCAGCTTTGGCAGCCCTGCTGGGCCTTGGGAACACCTGACAATTACATATGGCACCCAGTACTATCTATCTGACTCAATACAAATGATTAACATATGCTGGTCCCAGAAATCCTCCCATCCTCCCCCACACCCCTGTGATGCAGAGGTCTCTGCCCTGCTTGATTCAGTTCCTTCCTTGCCCTCACTCTGGCCTTACCAGGCCAGTTCATGGGCTTTTGTAGGAGCTGGAATGGGGGTAATGAGTGGAGATGAGTTTTGTGGGGGAGGGTTGAGATTCTAGGAGCAGTTTTAAGAGAAAAGTGTGGGTAGTTGTAATGTATGAGGACAGTGGATGGAAAAAGAAAAAGGAATAATTTTAAGAAGTATTACTGATACAACCACTTTGGAGAGCAATTTGGCAACTGGTAATGTAAAGCTGAAAATGAGCACACCTTCCCACTCAGCAATTCCATTTCTTGGACTATACTCTAGAGAAACTGGGCACATGTGCCCCTGGAGATATGTCCAAGGACATTCATTGAAGCATTATTTGTGATTGCAAAAAAGTGGCCCTGCTGTGGAAGTCCATGAAGAGGGGGAAAAGGATAAGTAACTAGTGTTGTTGTGCAACAGGATACTCTTCAAAACTAGTGGCAATGAACTAGAGATATATAAATTAACATGGGTAGATCTCACAAACATAATGTTAGATGAAAGTAGCAAATTGTAGAATAATCCATACAGCATGAAGCTAGGCATGTGTTTTAAAAAAGCAAAGCTATGCAGTATGTTGCTTATGGATGTTATATACATGATAAAAATATAAAACATGGAGTAAAAAGATCAATACCAAACTCATTTGATCAGTCAGGATGGGTTAGGTCAATGCCGCTATAACGAACACCCAAAATCTTAGTGGCTTATAATAACATAGTCTCTTGCTTGCTTGTGTACATGTTCACCAGGGGTCATGGAGGCTCTGCTCCAAACCTCCTCACTCCAGGACCAGGCTGACCTGTAGCCACCAATTGCCATGGCAGAGCCAAAGAGAGCTTGACAATTTATCCTGTCTCTCAAGTCTTCATCTTGGCCAGAGCAAGTGATATGGCCAAACCAAATTCAAGAAGCCAGGCGAGACCTATCCTACTATGTGCCCCAAAGGAAAAGCAGTAATATTAGGGGGCCAGCTCCACAGCCATGATGATACTGATGACCTCTGGGAAGCATACAAAGGGGCCTCCACCTTAACTGTTGGTATTATTTAGAAAATGTGAAGCAAAAACATGAAATTATTAATTCCAGAGAGAGGATACATGGTATTTCCTATATTATTTTCTGTGTTGTGTCTTTTTGACTTTTCAAAACAAGAAGTATAATTTTTAAAGGGAGGGAACAATGGGGTAACATTTAATACTAAAAATTATATATGTATGTCCTTGCTGGGCCCATGTTTTCTTTCACAGTATTCAGAAGGAACATGAGTGAAGGAATTAATTTGTTTTTATGTTGATTTTGGCTGCATAGCAGCAGTCTTCTGGACCTCAACAACAGCTCACTGGGTCCCAACCTCATTTGTGGCATTGTGTGTGCGTCTGTGTGCACCCATCCCCGGCAGCAAGGGCTTTCCCTAAAGTTGTTCTACTCACATCTGTACTCCCAACCCTGAACTTGCTACAATAAAAGGTGCCCAACCGTGAATGGCTCTGATACACTCATTTCTATATAAATACCGAGCCATTTCAGGACAGGAACCATGTCATCATCCCCCTTTGGGCCCTTTTCTGAAACAAGGAATGAATGAATGCTTGTTGAGTGAATGAATGACTGCAGCCCTTCTTCCCAAATGAGCAACGGAAGTAGGAATTACATGGGCCCTTCCCACTCTACCATGAGCCTTCCAAAGAGCTGTCAAGGTGAGTTTTTCTGCAGATTCTACCATATTTTTATGTCTGCATTGAAAAGCCAACAATGTATGTGGCTGTTACAGGGTGACTAACTTCCCAGGACTCTTCTGATTTTACCACTGAAAGTCCTATGTCCTGGGAACCCCCTCAGTCCCAGGCAAACTGGGATGGTTGGTCACCTAGTAGCAACTTCTTTCTTCTGTCTAGCCCCTTTTTTTCTAATTCTCATATGTCAGGGTTGGATATGATCTCATCTCTACATATCAGATTTAAGATTTTAGGAATGGGTCAGAGGGGAAGAGGTGAGTCAAAGAAGGAAGAAAGACTCAGGTTGGGGTTGTCTGAGATCTTTATTTTTTACAAAGTGTGGACCAGCATTGCCACTCAGGCCTTGGTTCTAGTGGCTTGCCATGGTCTAGAAAAAGAGGAGGAAAACCCAGAATAGTATAGTTAGCACAGGTTCTGAAACCATATGGAACTGGATTCAACTCCCAGCCATGCCACTCATTAGCTGTGTGACCTTGGGAGAGTGACTGGACCTCTCTGAGCCTGTTTCTTATCTGTATAATGGGGGTAATCATAGTACTTACCTTGTGGGGTTTTTTTTTATTAAACTATTATCTAAAGTGCTCATCACAGTGCCCGTACATTTAAGTGGTCTATAAATGGTGGCTGTTGCCATTACCATGAACAGTATTAATCCTCCCTGACCATTCATTTCCCAGATAAGGTTTGCCCTCTCCCTGGGGCCTGAGCTTTGCCTATCATAGCTCTCACATTTCATCATTATTGCTCATTTAATCTTATGTCCCCCCACAGGGCAGCCTTTTGACACATCACTCTGTCCTCCACAAGGAAAGTCCTGGACCAGAGAAGGTACTTGGTAAACACTTGTTGAAATAGGGAAGTTTGACGGTAGTTAAAAGCTGCACCCAGAAGCCATCAAAGTCCTTGCGGCCATACTCTAGCTGAAAACATCCCCCGAGCCCTCTGGAATGTCCCCAAGGCCCTTCCAAGACAGACCTTCTAGGATCCTTTCAGCCCCTCTTCAGGGTTTCTGCTCTCACCCATCCCCCCAGCACCTCTCAGAAGAGCCAGCACCGGGGAACCCTGCTCGCCCTGTCCTGCTCACCTCCTCGATCCACTCGTTGAAGGCTGAGACTCGAGTGAACACCGTGGGCTTCTTGATGGTGTTACAGCCGAAGGCAGAAACGAAGCTGGTCACGCCGTGGACCTGCCAGGAGCCATCAGCTGCGGGGCAGTTGAGGGGTCCTCCGGAGTCACCCTGGGATGATGGGAGAGAGCGGGGAGGCTGAGCCATGCCTGAAGTTTAAGGAATGCATTCTGATTTGGGGGAATTTCAAGAAACCCCCATATTACTTGACCTCTCTGAGCCTCAGTTGGCTCATTTGTCATAGGGAATATCTGTCTTACAGGAGCTTGTGATGATAAATGATCTTAGCACAATGCCAAGTAGAGAGGAAGCAATCAATAAATGATAGTTCTTATTATTGGCACTACAGTTAATTATTAATATTGTTATTCACACTTATGATACAATAATAGGGTTGCTTAATTAAACTTCAGGGCCCCTGAAGTGAAGGTGACTTTATAGGCCATGGTGTTGATACCCCTTGCTGTGCTGATGGGGAAGCTGAGGACCAGTGAGGGACAGTGACTTTCCCCCAGTCAAGTCATTTTGTGAGTTGGGACTAGAATCCAGAGGCACTGGATTCTACAATGACTACACTGTGTAGTCAGACTACGCAGACTTCCTCCAAGTCCTGCCTGGCCTGGAAGCTGAATGGGACAAGCAGGTAAGATTCTCCTCACCTGCAGGGCAGGTGGCAAAGGAAGCCCGAGGCCCAGCACGCCGAGCTGAGTGGCTATAGCCCAGCACCACCTTGGGCTGGTGAGAGGTAACTCACATTGCACCCTGAGCGGGTATCCCCACCGGCGCACACCATGGTCTTCTTCACGGACATGCCCCACCAGTCCAGCTTGGAGCAGTGCTCATAGTCCACCACGGGCAGCAGAGCCTGCTGCAGCTTATCCGGGAGTGGCCCTCCGGCTGCGGGGATAGAGAGTGCTGAGCTGGGGGTCATGGGGTGCAGGGCTTGGGCTGGGGTCTGGGGGTCAGCGCTGGGCACCCCAGAGTGGGGTGGGGGGCGTGAGACAGGCAGGTCTTCCAGTCTGATGGGACCCTCCTCCCACCAGGTTATGTGGTCCTGCCTGCTCTGTCCACCATAATGTCCCCATCACTTGGCATACAGGAGCCACTAAACAAATGTTTAATTGAACACATTCATGTTAGAGAGGACGAGGGGAGAAGATACCACTGGAGTAGGAATGGGAGGAAAATGCCCTCAGTCGCCTGCCCCCAGGCCCCATCTTCCTGCCCACACGCCCTTTGGCTGGCTGGTGGGCTTACTCACTGTAGAGCCGGCCCCAGCCGCTGATGTAGCAGGGTGCCTGATTGGGCAGAATGTCGCCCGCAGGAGGGAGGCAGGCGAGCTGCACGGTGTCTCCCAGCTGGGCACTGCGCGAGAGCTTGATGAGGGCGATGTCATTGCTGGGGAGGAGGGGGGCGTTGTGGGGAACCTGCTCCTCCAGCCAGACAAGCCCCACCTCCCAGCCTTTGCTCCAGATGTTGCACCTCTGGGATGCCCCCACTGCCCCTTTCCCCTCCAAATCCTTTTAATTCTGTGGCTGGGAAACTATAGGAAGCCCTCCCGGCCCCATCAGCCCACATCAATCCTCAGCCTTCACAAACGTCCTCAGCTTTCACACCAGGAGTTCTTGTACCACAGCTGCATCAGAACCACTGGAGGGTTTGTTAAAACATAGGTGGCTGGGTCCCACCCGGAGTTTCTGAAGCAGCGGGTCTGGGTGGGGCCTGAGAAGTCACATTTCTAACAAGTTCCCAGGAGATGCTGATGCTGCGGGTCTGGGAACCGTGCTCTGAGAACCCGTGCTCTCAGTTTCCCTCTGCTGGCTTGTCACCCAGGTCATTGCCCCTAGGCCTGCTCTTCTCTCCACTTACCCAGGAGCCCTGTGAGGATGGGTCAAAATCTGATCACCGTGGCCCCTCAGCCCTGCAGGCACTTACCCGAAAAATGTTTAGCCACCCAGACACGCAATTTTGCATATGCTTGAGGGGCTTAAGAAGCCCTTCTTTCATGTTCTCCCCCAGCATTTGCTTCCTTGACCTTCACAAACACCCAGGAAGCCCAAAAGGTCACACTTGACAACTGTAAAACTGAAGCCCAGAGAAGGGCGGTGACGTGCCCAAGCCACACAGTGACTTAGCGGTGGGCCTGCCTCTCAGGCCAGCGCTCCTCCCTTAGGCCACGGTGCTGGGGACCCAGGATGCCCGGGATAAACATCTGTTGCATGGAGGAGCCCTTGAATTTGGGACAGGATGCCAGAAGAGTCCTGGGTTCTGAAGCCAACTAGTCAAGTGGCCTTGCGTGAGCTCCTATCCCTCCCCAGGCCCAGCTGTCCCTTCCACGGGGAGAGAGGTTTGGGGTAGATGATCCTTAAAGGCTCTGCTTCCTCCAACTCTCCTTGTGTGGGACCTGGGCTCAGGCTGCTGGACCCAGACCCTTGTCCCTGGGAGTCGCCTCAGAATTGGCTTTGGGTCATGCAGGACCAGTACAAGAGCCCCTGGGACCCAGGCCTGAGAATTCACTTACCCACAGGCCACACATTTGGGGTTCCATAGTGGGTGCACGAAGAGGTCCTCATCATTGATGGGGATCACTTGTTCAGGGCCTTCTTTCTCCGCCCGGTCATACTCGCCCAACACCACCTGGTAGGTCATGGAGCTCCTGCCAGGGGAAGTGAGGTCAGCCCCAGCCCGACTGGCCTCCCTCCCTTCCAAGTCAGCCACTTCCCTGTCCTGCTGGGACTCATGCAGGGACAGGGGCAAGTGAGAGAACTCACGAGACGCAGTGACCCGCAGTCATGACCCAGTCGGGAGCAATGAGGCTGCCACCACAGGTGTGGTGGAAGGTTCCGTCCTTTTCATACTGCAGGGAGACCTGGTGGCAAGGGAGGGAGGAGTCTGAGCTGTCTGAGTTCTACAGTGAGGGTTGCTGTCCATGGCTGTATAGATTGTGCACTGTGCAGCTGCAGGGGGCATCAGTCATGCACAATGGCACCCTCTAGAAATGTGCCGTGCCCAACCTACACAACCATATCATCTGTAGGTGCTTTCATGCTACAATGACAGAGTTAAGTCACTGCACTAGAAACCATATAGCCAACAAAGTCTAAAATATTTACTCTCTGGTCCTTTACAGAACAAGTTAGCTGACACTTGCTGTAGACGTACCATCCAGTAGAACTCTCTGTGATGATGGACATGTTCTGTATCTTGGCGGTCCAACATGGTAGCCACTAACCACATATGGCCATTGAGGATTTGAAATGCAGCTGATATTGAGCAACTAAATTTTTAGCATTATTTAATTTAAATAAATTTAAACTTAAGTAGCCACATGCGGCTAGTGGCTACCATGTTAGTGAAGCTAGTCTAGCTCTGCACCTCCCTCCACCAACCTCTGTAAAGCCCTTCATTCTTTTATTGCTTTCAGATCTTCTAGCCCTGTTGTATAGTTCAAGAAGTCTAGGAATGCATTGCCCCAAAATCTCCCTTCCTAAATACAATGCCTGCACTTCGGCATTCCTTTATTAGTGCACCAACCCTTAGGTTAAATATTACCCTCTCCCCAGATTCCACTTTGAACTTGCAAACAACCCAGTGAGGGTTACAGAGTGAACGGACAAAACTTCCATTGGAAGTGGATTATCCAAGCATTTCCTGGCCTGTGGAAGCTGAAGTGGAATTGAAGCAATGGAGTCAAGACTGGATGCTTTGCAATCAGAGCATGAGGTGCAGAGCCCGTGGTGGGAAATAATGTAGCTGGTATGGCTCTTACCTGCCAGGGCCAGCTGTAGGGGACTGCATCGTCACCATTGACAACGCGACTGGCGGGGTTGTTAGAAGGCCGGCCACAGCCAGAGGCTGGAGGAAACAGTAGAGTTGTCAATCAGCCAGAGGGTCCCCAAAAGCAAAGAGGCAGCCGGGGTCCCAGTCCTAGTTGTGCAGCAACCGGCTGCATGGCCAGGTGCAAGCCTCTTCCCCTCCAAGGACCTCAGTTGCCACATGTGAATAGTGAGCATTTGGATTAGAGTAGGGATTTCCAGGTCCCAGGAGTCCAGCGATGGAGAGGAACCTGTGGCCTCCTTCCATGGCAGGATTGAAGGAGTTGGTGCATTTAGAACAGTGTTTGGTACCCAATGAGCCCTTGAAAATTAACAGTTATTGTCATGAAGAGTGGCAGCTTTGGGTTAAGACTGCCTGGGCTTAAGGAGGTACAGCTCTGCTCCCCTCATTCTAGCATTCTAGCATGAGTTTGCTTCCCTGAGGGTCAGTTTCTCCATCTGTAAAATGGGGATAATAATATTACTTACCTCATGAACTAATATAAGAAAAAATTCTTAGCATTCTGTCTTGCATATAGTAAGCACTTGATGAATATTATGTTACCATTACTGTCAGTCAAGGGAGGCTGCTTAGAGGAGGTGGCCCTGAGCTGGAATATAATATGACAGAGAAACCAGGAGAAGACTAGACCACAGGATATGGAGCAGGGTAGGGGGAGTGTGAGAGGGGAGTGTGAGGGTTAAGCAGAGGAACAGAAATTCCACCCCAAGCAGTCTAACCACAGAGCCCAAACTCTTTGCCATTAGACTTCGTTTACTTCCCCATAGAGGACCCCCGCCTCAGTGCCTGGTGTCTCCAAGTCTTTCTCCTGAGCTGGTCTATCCACAGATTCCCCCTCCATTCTCCTGCTCCAGCACCAAGTTGAAAGCCTTCGCCATCATGCCCCAGGTACAAGCTGAGATCCCTCCTATGGAACCAGGTGTTGGGTCCACGAGACCCAGGGTGGGTGGCAGATTCAAGGGCTCCTGGCCCCGGGCAGCACAGGCTGCAGGCTTACCAAGGGCCACAAGTAGGAGGGAACTCAGCAGCCAGAGCATCGTGAGTTTTCAGCTGATAAGAAAGACACGCTTAGCCTGGGACTCTAATATAGGGCAGAGGCAGGTGTTGGGGGGCCAGACTGGACCGATTCCCAGAACAGGTGGTAGAACACCAGGTCTCCCATGGTCCAAGGCCACAGCCCCCACCCACTGCAGATGGAGAAATGACAGCCAACGCCAGGATCCAGGGTTCCCTCCAGCCTGTGGCAGCACAGATGGCATTGAATGGCTAGCTGATAACAGGGGTGAGGGAAGGAAAGTTCACATTAGAACAAGTCAACCTCTTCCAGGAAAGAATGTTGTCTCTGGAACTGGTCATACTTGGGTTCAAATCCTGGCTCTGTCACCAAGCTCTGCATCCTTGAGTACATGGCTTAACCTTTCTAAGCCACGGGCTTCTTATCTCTGACAAAGGATTAATATTAGTATCCCCCTGAAAAAAAATATTGCTGAGCATTTTCTCTGTATCAGTATGTTCTAGGGGATTCACTCATGAATGAGACATGGTCCCAGCTCTCCTGGGGCTTGAGTCTAGTAGAGGAGACAATGACAAATCAACAAAAGTAAGTAAAGATGATGTGTGTGTGTGTGTGTGTGTGCAGTTTAAATAACAATAACGAAACAAATACCTATATTCTTACCACCCAGGCTCAGAAATAGAACATTGTAATTCCTCTGTGTATCTCAACCCTATGATTTCCCCTTGCTTTCATTAGAGATTTCCACATGCATATGTATTCCTCAACAATACACCGGCTTTTCCTCTTTTGGCCCCCCTTTCTTTTTATTGAAGTATAGTTGATACACAATCTTTTTTTCCCAAAAGGATACTTTACTTACTGATACTTATCAACTTTCAAAAATTAGTTTCTATGAAAAATAAGCTATCATTTGATTTATGAAAATTAGTATTCTCTGAGTCCACTGTTTTTTTCCCACTGTCCAACTTTTTAAAAAAATTAAAGTATAGTTAATATACAATCTTATATTGGTTTCAAGTATACAACACAGTGGTTCAATAGTTACCCACATTATTAAATCCCCACCCCCAACTAGTGCAGTTACTATTCAGCATAAGAAGATATTACAGGATCATTGGCTATATTATCCATACTGTACGGCCATGCTGACCAACTTATATTTTATGATTGAGAATTTTTGTGCCCCTTTATCCCCCTTACACTCCCTGCTCACCCATCCCAAACCCTCCCCTATGACAACCACCAGTCATTTCTCAATGTCTATGAGTCTACTGTTACTTTGTTCATTTTGTTCTAATTTGTTTTGTTTTTAGATTCCACAAATAAGTTAAATCATATGGTACTTGTCCTGGCTTATCTTACTGAGCACAATACCCTCTAGGTCCATCCATGTTGTCACAAATGGCAGGATTTCTTTCTTCTTTATGGCTAAGTAATATTCCATTGTGTATATGTCCCACGTCTTCTTTATCCACTCATCAATTGATGGACACTTGGGTTGCTTCCATATCTTGGCTATTATAAATAATGTGGCAGTAAACATAAGGGTGCATATGTCTTTTCAAGTCAGGGATTTTGTTTTCTTCAGCTAATTTCCTAGAAGTGGAATTACTAGGTTGAGTAGTATTTCTATTTTTAGTTTTTGAGAACTTCCGTACTGCTTTCCACAGTGCCTGTACCAATTTACATTCCCACCAATAGTGTAGGAGGTTCCCTTTTGTTCCTTTGTATAAGTAGAATCACATAGTGACTATCCTTTTGTGATGTTATTTTCACTTTGTGTTCAATATTGGTTCCTCAGTTGATAGTCCATACTTTAAATATACCAACCTACTGTGAATGGATATTTGAGTGTTTCTAGCTCTTTGCTTTTATGGCAATAGTATCTACTGCATGATTAAGATAAGAACTAATGAAACATAAAGTATATAATTGTCCAGCTGTATTATGCAATGGCAAACAGGGATGGTACTTCCTGTTATTCCACAACTGAGTCATGTTTTTTGGTATTCTTAGATGTCTACCCAACTATGATGTGTATATATATATATATACCTCATCTTCTTTATCCATTCACTCATCTTAGGATATTTAGGTTGTTTCTTGGCTATTTAAATAAGCTGCAGTGAACATGGAGGTGCACTTATCCTTTCAAATTAGTGTTTTCATTTTATTTGGATAAATATCCAGAAATGGAATTGCTGCATCTAAGGTAGTTTTATTATTAATTTTTTGAAGAACCTCCATACTGTTTTCCATAGTGGCTGCACCAATTACATTCCCACCAACGGTGCACAAGAGTTCCCTTTTCTCCATATTCTCACCAACATTTGTTATTTCTTATCTTTTTGATAATAGCCATTCTAACAGGGTGAGGTGATATCTCATTGTGGTTTTGATTTGCATTTCACTGATGATTAATGATGTTGAGTATCTTTTCATGTACCTGTTACCTGTTGGCCATCTCTATGCCTTCTTTTGGAAAAATGTCTATTCAGATCTGCCCACCTTTTAATTGAATTGCTTGTTTTTTGCTATTCAGCTATATGAGTTCTTTATGTATTTTGAATATTAGCTCTTATCAGATATGTGATTTGCAATTATTTTCTCCCATTTAACAGGTTGCCTTTTCATTTTGTTGATGGTTTCCTTTGCTGTGCAGAACCTTTTCAGTTTGATGTAGTCCCACTTGTTTATTTTTGCTTTTAGTGTCAGATTTTAAAAAGTCACTGCCAATCTAGGAGTTTTGTGCTTTTAGGTCTCACATTCAAGTCTACTAAATTTTTAGTTAATTTTTGCATGTGGTATAAGATAGAGTCTAGTTTCATTTTTTGCATGTGGCTGTCCAATTTTCCCAATATCATTTATTGAAGAAACTGTCCTTTCCCCATTGCATATTCTTAGCTCCTTTGTTGTGAACTAATTGACCATGTGTGCACAGGTTTATTTCTGGGCTCTATTCTGTTCCAGTGATCTATGCATCTGTTTTTTATACTAGTACCATATTGTTTTAATTACTCTAGCTTTGTAATATAGTTTGAAATCAGGGAGCATGATGCTTCCAGCCTTGTTCTTCTTTTTCCAAAATTGCTTTGGCTATTCAGGG